CTCACTATGTTGTACACAGACAATCGATGTATTGATAGATGCTATGTTGTATATAGTTTAGGGAAAATTAATATAAATCTTGAAAAGGAGGGAAAAGGAGATACATGTATTATAAAATTAAAGCAGCAACAGATGCCAATTTTTCGTTGAAATAAGTCATGTCGTGGAATTAGAGCAGGTTTCCGTGGAGCTTCCAGCTTAAGACAGACTAAGGTTGTGGGTTTCATTATTGTTATACTGAACCCTAAGTGACTCATCTCCCCACTACCCCTCTGCAACTATGTCCAGTTGTCTAGAGATGGGCATTGGGTCCCCATCACGCGCCACCCTCATTGACCAGGATATGATTTTTCTCCCCGCCTTTGGTGTTTGAAGCCTGGTCCCTTTGGCCCTTCATGATCACACATGTTGGTGTGCTGCTTCCATGTGGGCTTTGTTCCTTCTGGGCTAGATGGCCGCTTGTTTCAAGCCTTTAAGTCCCCAGACGCTATAGGTCTCGATAGCCGGGCACCATCAGCCTTCTTCACCACACTTACTTATGCACACATTCATCTTCAGCGTTTATGTGGGGTAGGTGATCACACAATGATGGTTTTTGTTCTTTGGTGTCTGCTGCCTGTTCCCTTCAACACCTCGTGTTCGCACAAGCTTCCTCTAGTTCTTAAATGCTTCCTCCCCCCAACTACCTGGACCCCAATTCTACCTTGCAGATATGGCTAGACCAGATGATGCACAGCAGTACAGATGGGAATTGGAAATGCAGGGAATCTAGGACAGATGAACCACTCAGGACCAGGGGTGACAGTGGCGATACCAGGAGGGAAGGGGTGTAGAAAGGAGGAATTGATCACAGAGAGCTACATATAACCTACTCTCTGGGGGATGGGCAACAGAGGGGTAGGTGAAGGGAGACGCCGGGCAGTGTAATATAAGATATAATAATAATTTATAAATTATCAAGCGTGCATGGGGGAGGGGGGTAGAGGAAGGGAGGGGGAGGGGGGAAAAAGGAAAATGAGCTGATTCCGGGAACCCAAGAGGTAAGCGAATTTTGGGAATGATGAGGGCAACAATGTATAGATGTGCTCTACACAATTGATCTATGTATTGTGATGAATTTTATGAGCCCCAATAAATTGATTAAAAAAAAAAACGACAGACTAAGAAGAAGGAAAAGATAGTCCACTGCACAGGGATTAGTCGATGAAAGCCCATTGAGTAGTAACAGAAGATTGTCTGATATAGTTCCTGAAGGTGAGCCTGCAAGTTGTAAGGCATTCAAAATGTAAATGAGGAAGTGTTGGCTCCTCAAAGTACAGTTAAACTTAATGGAGCAAAGATTTGAGGACCTTTATTTGCTGATAATGGATGACTTAAAATTAGAAGAAACAGCTGCAAATATTCACTAATAATTGGAATGTGAATTATATGAAGGATGGTTCTAGGAAATTTTGAAATCGTCAAAATAGAATGCATAAAAATCAACAGTGAACTGAAATTAACCAGTATTGCTCATCTTGAGTCATAACCATAAGGATTACTATGCTGGGTAGATATATTTAAGACATATCAATAATTAAAAAGACCATCCTAAGATGTATCTTTGTGTATGATTAAGTATGTAATATGGTATTATCTGTGTGCCTCCAAGGCATACCAATGAATATAGCTAGTATTCAAATATATGCATGAACCCCTACAGCCAAGAATGGAGGTATTGAAGAACGTTGTCAACTTTTGAAATTGAACAAGCATGCAGCGAAGATGCATTTATGACCATTGTTGATTGGCATGCACAAGGTGGAAACAAAGAGGACGACTCCTGTAACATTTAGGACAAGTCTTTTGCAGATCATAATTGCTAGTTGAACTCTAAAGCAACGCATATCCAAAGTGATTTGATCATTGCTCTTCTTTGAGCAGGATGTATTTTCTACATATATCAAAATACTACAGCACCACATTACTTTGCTAGGCAATACAATGTGGTCCTTGATTATACAGCCCTTACTGACTCATTTTTAACTAGTTCAAATTTCTGCCTTTAATGTTGTATATTATTCCATTGTATCCATTCATCCACTGATGAGCATTTGGGTTGTTTCCATCTTAATGATGTGAAAAATGAATGCTATGTTAAAAATTAGTGTGCAAATTCCTATGTATGTCATAGCTCCCTTTTCTCTCTAGGATATACGTGAAAGCTTCAAACTCATCATGAAAAAAGAGAATTAAAAGATAAAGGAAGATTTTAAAAGAAATTTTTGAAATCCCTTTATGTGTTATATATTTGTGGAATTTATGGATCTCCTGGTCAGTCTGCTTTCAACTTTTTAAGGATGTTCTACACCGTTTTTCACAGTGGCATAACCAGTTTATAATCCCACAAACAGTGTGATAATGTTCCAACCTCTCTCCATTCTTGCGAGGATTTGCTGTTGTCTGCTCTTTGGAACTTTGCTATTATTGCTGGAATGAGATGATATCCCTTTATTGTTTTGATTTGCACTTCTTTAAAGGATAATGATTGTGAGTTTCCTTTTTCGTGCATTTGTTGACCAACTAGAAGTCTTTTTTTTTTTTTTTTTTGCAAAGGAGTGTTTCATGAGAGTTTGAGAAGCACATGCAATATTTACTAGTTGGCTGGAGAACTCTACAAATGAATCAAGTTCACTTATAGTATACTTTCCATTACCCATATATTTAATGATATGTTACTCCCTACCTATCAATGACTGAAAGAGATTATTGCCATTTCCAAATATTGTAGTGGATTCGTCTATCACCCTTTGAATTCCTATCAGTATTCATAAATATTTTTTAGGTACATATACACGAAGAATTGTTATACCCAGTTCACAAATTATATTCCTTATTATTATGTTATGCTAAATTAATGTAACAATTTTAGCTTTACTTTCATTAATGTTTTCATAGAATATATTCATTTATATACTTTTACTCTATTCTTTCATGTTTGATTTTGTTTCTTATGAACAAATTGTGTTTGGATGTTGTTTTCTATCTACTCTGTCAATCACTGCATATTAACTCAATTATTTAGCTAATTCACAGTGAAATTTACCTTGAAGACTGGTCTCTTTTTTCCCTTCTGTGTGTCAGGAAGATGAAAGGCACTGGAGTTTGGTAACTGCCCTTCCATTGTATACCTATGTCTCATAAGGCTCTGGTAAAGTCTTTTTGTCTGGAGGGTAGACCTCTGTTATGGAAAACACTAACTATTTAAATGTTTACTTTTTCTCTTCATCTGCTATAGTCACAAGTTTATTCTTTTTTTTCCTAACTCCAGAAGATTTCAGGATTCTAGTGGTAAAACTTGTTAAAACATGCTCCACCAAGATTACAGCCACAAAGAACTTTAACTCGCATGCCAGTTTATAGTCAGCCTCGAAAAGCTGTCAACATTATCAATTAAGATCCTCTACCAATTTAGGAAGACCCTGAAGGAGAGGTTTTCATGATGGCTGGCACAATGGGTTCAACCCTAACAACCATTTGAGGATGGCTTTGAACTGGGCAGTGTTTTGTTCTGTTGCACATTAAGTCTCATGAGTCACAACCATTTCAATGACACCTAACTACAAAACAACAACCAATTTAGGGCTCTTCATTCTGTTTCCCTTAAGCACATTATAGTTGTGATCCTCTGTATTTATCTCTCTCTGTCGATTTCCGAGTTTTTGTGCTGTGAAACTAATTATTTGAAAGATCCAAGTAAAGCCATTGATTTTTAAGTTGAGGTGTGTGTTTTTTACAGTAGCTTTAAGGATACGATTCCAGATTCTTTGTGTATCAAACTGAAAGTGGTAGTCAAATAATCTGATTTTTGAAATAATATTTTTTTAATTAGCAACATTATAGCTACAAAAAAAATCCAAGTCCAGCTCCAAGCTACACACATTATGATGGAGAGGCACACATTGAAAACCAGTTGTACCATTTGAATTCTGGAATCCCAAGATTATTTTTATAATTTTGGCTAATTCTGAAGATATTTTAAGCTAATTATCTCATGTCATATTGTTTTAATCTACTCAATATGAGGGTGATGCTTGTGTAGTGCACATAATGTTGTGGCAGACAAAGCAAAGGTGGCTATTTTAAACCATTTTGTAGATGTGTGAGAAGATGTGGTATGATTTAAAAACTGATACTATTTTACTCTTACACAGCAAACATGGTCATAGATTAAATAGTCTGATATTATTACTTAGTAATGATTGATAAGAAGCTGATCATTAATAACAATGACAATTTCATATTAAACATGTCATTTATTCTGACTTATGTCTAAAGATGTGATCTGAAATACTTATGATCAGAGAGAATACAACTCTGAGGGTATAGAGAGAATCACAAAAATGAAAAAAAAAAAACAAGAGTAAGATTTAATAGGCACCTAAGCTAAAAAGGAGTTTCATCAGGTGGCATGTACAAAAAATTCTGATTTAATTTCATTCCCAAAGTTTTTCCTTGCCTAATTTTATTATCTCCAAAGTTTGATGATATTTGAAATCTTGTTCCCTGGGTGATCTTATGACCCTGCGGAGTATGGAAGGAATAACTGTGGTAAACAAGAGAAAATTACCCATCTATTCATATTCCCCTATGGAGCTACATTGGTGAGAGCACTGCACCCTTGTGATTGATCACACATTATAATAGAGTCTCCCCTAAGTCTAGTCTCATACCCAAATCCCGTGTGCTCATGACAGTTTGTGTCCCTACATAAAACTTCTTGCTTTCTGAGCATTATTAGTCACTAAAACAAGACATGCTATCAGAAAGAATAAATTTGCCATATAGAATAGTCAGGAAAATAGCACATAGACGCTCCAATTTTCTGAGTTTATGACACTAAAGAAAATTGCATTAATTTTTATTTTATTCTGAAAAGCAGAAAAAGCACAATTGGACATTTAGAATCAGTGATCCATCCAATTGACTATATCTCTCCAGGAATATTTCATTTTTCTATAGCATTCATGATCTCCATCTCTAACCTAAGTAATCCCAACTTTGTTCTGACTGGTTTTCCCGGCCTAGAAGTTGACTACGTCTGGCTCGCCATCCCTTTCTCCTCCATCTATGCCACGGTATTCCTGGGAAACTGCATGGTGCTTCATGTGATCAGAACTGAGCCGAGTTTGCACGAGCCCATGTTCTACTTCTTGGCCATGCTGGCCCTGACTGACCTGTGCATGGGCTTGTCCACAGTGCCCACGGTGCTGGGAATTCTGTTGGGGCTACTTGAAGAAATCAGCTTGGATTTCTGCATTGCACAGTCCTACTTCATCCACGGTCTATCCTTCATGGAGTCCTCTGTCCTTCTTGCTATGTCCTTTGACCGCTACATCGCTATTTGCAACCCCCTGCGCTATTCTTCTATCCTAACAAATGACAAAATCATGAAAATTGGGATTGCTATTTTAGGTAGAAGTTCTTTACTCATACCTCCGGTCATCATTCGCCTGAAGTTCTTAAACTATTGCCGACCCCACATTCTTTCTCACTCGTTCTGCCTACATCAAGACTTAATTAGAATGGCTTGTTCAGACATTCGTTTCAACAGCATCTATGGTCTGTTTCTGGTAATCAGCAACCTGTTGTTGGATTCAGTTCTCATACTTATCTCCTACATCATGATCCTGCATACGGTCTTAGCCATTGCATCCAGGGAAGAGAGGATCAAGTCCTTACAGACATGTGTATCTCACATCTCTGCAGTTTTGGTTTTCTACATTCCGATTATTGGTCTGACTATGGTTCATCGCTTTGGGAAACATCTCTCACCATTGGTTCATGTTCTCATGGGAAACACTTATATTCTTTTCCCACCTTTGATGAACCCTATTATTTATAGTATCAAGACTCAGCAGATTCGAAGGAGAATCCAGAGATTGTTCTACCTGAAAGGTACTTAAGTTGATTGAGATCAAATGTGACTATGTTTAACAGTAAAAATATAATTTCAAGGGTCAACCACAGTATCTAATAAGAAATAGTTTTAGTAGCTTGTATATGCATTGTATTTTACATATTTAAATATGAAGGGGCTTAAAAAATTTCATGAAAAAATCCATACTTGTTAACTCAAAATCTCCATTTTCCCACAAGTTTATTAATCAGAGAAATGACACCATTAATAGCATGATCCATATCGCAAACAAGACCATACATATATATGTGGCTAAGAATCATATTTATCCCTGATGATAATTAACTAATAACTTCCACATCCTTTAATGACTAGATTTGTATTGCATGATAAATACAAATTTTGCTAATGACACCTCATAAAGTTATTACTTAAAGATCAACCATTATTTTAGTCAATATTCACTATTGTGGCCACCTTTCTTGTTTATTGTATAGCTATGGTTCAATCATATACATGTAACAGAATAGCAGTATATAAAGTTTGAGCTTTTGGGATAATTTACCAGATAATGATAAACACAAACAAACTAGATTATTTTTCTAGTTTTTTCGTATTACCCATGAATCTAAAGGACAGACTATTAGTCATTGCCAAAGTAAAAAGAATGCAAATGTTGTTAATCTTTAGTTCCTTTCAAAATAATAATAGTAGCAGTTACCATGTGAAAATGCTCACTATGAACCTGTATATATCAATATTTTCGTTTTCTCATTCAAATACTATATTCTAGATTAAACCCAAACCAAACCAAACTCACTGCCTTTGAGTTGATGCCACCTCTTAGCGACCAGGTTAAAGTATGCTAAAATATAAAAGAGCAAAATGACAGCACTGACATAAAAAGCTACAGATATTATTACTATGACACAGTAATGGAAATATACTTCTAAAATTTAATAGCCCTGTCAATACTCGAGGACAATGTGCTTTTTTTTCATGATATAGATGGATGTCTTAAAGTGCACAAAGGTTCGATGATGTTTCTAATTTTTAGGAGATTTCAAGGTAGAGAACTTGGATACATATGTTCTGTCTTAGTTAGCTTCAAATCTCCCCCCCTTGCTGTGATACTTCTTTCTAATATGAAGCATATTTATTGGTTAAGCAATTATTATAAATTTTTTTATGTTGCAAATAAAATATGGAATCACCAAAGTAACATGGATAATATAATGCATATATTTAGATTTGATTATGTGTAAGATTTTTCAAAACATTATGGTAATCATGATATGTATAATTTCCTATCTGTATTTGATCACTTAATGTTTTTATGAAAGGTTTATATGGGTATAAATATTAACAGAAAAATCCACTCTCTTTAAATGTATAATATAATGAGTTTTTAAAAGTGTTTATAGCTTGTAACCACTACCAGAATCAAAATACAATCATCCCCCCAAATTGGCTTACGCTTTTTTGGCCAATTTGATCCCACAACCCGAAGTCCTTAGAAACCGCTAGTATGATTCCTGTCTTACAAGTTTATCTTTATATAAGAATGAGGGAAAACAGATTTACGTGCATATATTTATAGGTTTAGTATTAAGGGAGCAGATGTACATTGGGCCTCCACTCAAGCACTTACTCATTACAAGAACACATTGTTCTTTTAAATTGGCATTCCAGGATGCACACCTTCCTGAATTGATTGCTGAAGAAAAATGTGAACATGTGTTATAATTGAATAATTTTATTAATATATTATTAATTAAAGCTTATAGTATATATATTTAGGTTCATTCTTTGTGTTGTTTAATCTTTTGTTTTGACGATGAATGTCATGTGTCCACATAACACATCATACAGAATAACATTATATCCCTAAAAATGTCCTTGGTACACCTGTTCAATTCCTACCCTGATCACCTGAAGTTTACCCAGGCAACCACTCATCGTTTTACTCTATAGCTTTGCTTTGTACAGAGTGTCTGGCAGTTGGATTCACAGAGTATATATTCAAACTATATGCAATTTATTTCATTTGATGATCCTCAGACCCTTTTATAATCTCTGCTATTATGTACAAGAATCACTGTTCCTATTATAAGCTCAATTGCATTGCACCACAATAACTCAAATATCCCAAATAAAAATAATACAATGAGTTAAATGAATATATCTGCTTTCTCGGTGCATATAAAAGTTATGTTTGCACTATACTACAGTCTATTAAATATGTATACATTTATGAAAAATAGTGTAAAATTCTGAGAATTACCAAAATGTGTCACCAAGACACAAAGTGAACAACATGTGGCTAGGGGGTAAAAATGGGACTGATCGACAATGGAAACAGGATTGCCAAAATTTTCCATCTGTAAATAAATGCAACATCTGTGAATCACAGTAAAGTGAAATACAAAGAAATGACACGTGCCTGTATTGTAATGTGGAAATCAAGTGACGAAAGCATCCCTTCACTTGGTCTCCTGCAATTCAATTGTTTATGTGAAGCAGAATGATTATGCTACTGCTAATAACACTAACAGGTAATGTGCTTGAATCTTATTTTGTTAGTACCACTTAGGAGGGTAACACAGGTCATCTATATCTTTATAGATTATATAATATTTATCCTGATTATAAGGATATACTAGATATTAAAGCACAGAAAGAGTAGGTGATATTAACCAAGGACAGACTGCTTGGTTTTCTAGAGAAATGAAACTAGTTAACCTCATACGTATATGAAACAACTTCATATCAAGAAGGAAATGTACATCAACAAAACAGTCCAGCACAGTCCAATTAAAGTCCATGGAAAATATGTGAGCTGGATGCCCCTCTAGAATCATAGACCTGCAGAACAATGAAGCAAGAAGCTGACACAGGAAGAAGAGGGATCACAGGTCAATGGGTGCAGGATCCCATGGAATAAAGGTTGACAGGGTGCCAATAGATCCCAGGATTGGCAGACGACATTGACCATTCACTTGTTCAGAGTAAGAAGCACAATCCAGATGCAGAAGGCTAAAACGGAGGCCAAATCTTCTCAGAGTCTATCTTACAAAAAGGCCACATGCCCAAGGAGATGTCATTAGGCTGTGTCTTGATTGATACATTGGACTCCACCCTTATCTTTAGATAGGTACATTACAGCTGAGATTCAAAGTATGAACTCAGCACAGTTGTTCATGGACATAAATGTCATTAGTTTATGGTGATATGTAAGAACCGGGTGGCTCTATGATGAAGAACTTGACTGCTAACTAAAAGGTCATCAATTAGAGACTTGTAGCTACTTCACAGGATAGTTCCATAATGATTTACAGCTCTGGGCATGTTTTCAGGAGAGACCAATTTACTGAAACCTGAGGGAAAGTTCTAATCTGTCCTGTAGGTCCCAACACCTTGGGGTCCATTCCATGGCAATGCGTTCAGTTTGGGTTGGATTGTTCTGAGGTAAAGAGGTATTGTAGAAAATAGACTGAATACCTTTTACACATATTTCACTTAAAATTGTTTAACATAAATTTTTAGAAAATATGTTTTACTTTTTTAAAGTGAAGTTGTCAATTTGAAGATAAAGGTGAGCCTGACCAAATTCAGGGTAATTTTAATTTCCTCCTATGTGTGTAAAAGTTGGAAAATGAATAAGAAAGATTGAACGAGAAATGATGATTTTCAATTATGTTTGCAAAGAATATTAAGTATACCATGAAATTCCAGAAGAATGAGCAAATCTATGTAGAAAGAAGTACAGTCACATTGCTACTGAGGAGTGCTAATGGTGATTCTTTTACTCACATACTTCAAAGTTGCTAGAAGGTGGGTACAAGCCCTGGAGAAGGACATCATGCTTGGTAAAATAGAGGGGCAGTGAAAAAGAGGAAGGTCTTCAATGGGACGCATTGACACAGAGGCTTAAGCAATCGGGTCAGTCATAGAACAGCTGTGAGGATGGTGCAGGACTGGACAACACTTCCGTCTGTTGAATATGAGGTCAATCGGAGGCAAATCAACTCTCCCACAAGTAGCAACAACAAAATGTGTCAGATTGAGCTATCTTTAGTCCTGATTTTTCTTTTGTTTTATTTGGAAGGATGCATGTGGGTAAAAATAAAGTTGAAATACGGCTAAGAAATTTTATTTGAAGACTTTTTGAAATATAATCTTTAAAATATATTGTAACCAAGATCAGTGGAATTTGAGATATCCTTGGTGTAATACTTAAAATAAAAAAGCAGAATCAAAAACAATATGTTTACATGACCTCATTTACTCCCAAAATTGCCATCGTTTTCCCTCTCATAGTGCCATAATTACAAAAATGCCCGCTATATATTTAGGCAATCTTCAATTAGTTGAGTGACAAAGAAAAATAAAAACAAAGCAGTTTGATATATTTCAGCAAAATTTCCTGTTCAGAGAGAAGAGTTGGATAACCTTATCCTGGATTTGCTTAGTCTTAACCCCATATATTATGGGGTTTAGAGTAGGTGGTATCACTACGTAAAGATTAGCAAGTAGGATATGGACATGGAGTGGTATGCTGTGGCCCCCAAATCGATGAGCAAAGAAAGAAAAGAATGCTGGAGTATAGAACAGGAGGATGAGACAGACATGGGAGCCACATGTACCCAGAGCCTTGAGTCGGGCATTTCGGGAGGGGATCTTAAACACAGTACATAGTATAAGGGCATAGGAGACGATGATGAGTACCACATCCAAACATGTAGAGAACAGGGCCACGATAAGTCCATAGTAGATGTTGACCTTGATGCTATCACAGGCCAGCCTGGCAATGCCCATATGCTCACAGTATGAGTGATGGATAATGTTCTTCCCACAGTAAGTAAGCCGATAAACCAGAAAAATCAAGGGGAAACAGATGAAGAAACTCTTAATTACAGATGCCATACCCATTTTTCCAATGACCGAGGAGGTTAGAATAGTTGTGTATCTTAGAGGAAAGCTGATGGCCACATAACGATCAAATGCCACAGCAGACTCTGCCACAAAGATGAAGTGAAGGAAAAACATCTGGGAGACGCAGCTGGCAAAGGAAATACCCCCGGCTTGGAACCAGAAGATAGCTAGCATTTTGGGTGTAGTGACTGTAGAGAGAAAGATATCTGCCATGGCCAACATGGACAGGAACAGGTACATAGGTTCATGCAGATTGTGATCACTGTAGATCAGAAATACTAACAGGGAGTTACCTAAAATAGCTACTATGTACATGGAACAGATCGGAATGGAGATCCATGTATGTGCATCTTCCAGTCCTGGAATCCCAATCATGGTGTACCAGATGTCTCTGAAGTTAGTTTGGTTTGAATAAAAGGTTGCCATCTTTCACTTTGTCTTCTGATACTGGATCCTAGAAGAAGAAGAAGAAGAAGAAGAACGAGGAGGAGGAGGAGGAGGAGGAGGAGGAGAAGGAGAAAAAGACCGAAGAACAAGATTTTAAAAATTGGATTTAGTGTATCATGTATTGCCATAATGCTATTGCCTTCAGAAAGACAGATAATCAGTAACCAGTAACCAATGATTCTTAGGTTCTCCATTATCTCTGGTCTGCTTGCTTCTTTATCCCATTTATTTATTCTTGCATGAGTTTCATTTACTTTCCTTTCTTGTTCATACTTAAATAATATTTCTGAGAAAAATAAATGAGCAGCTAGTAGAAAATAAACTACAATTAAATTAGAAAAACTTCATTAACATTAAAGGTATTATACTTTGGGTGTGCTAGTACTACTATCAATAACATTAATAATAATGATAATAAAACAATTAAATAATGTTTATATGTTACTATGCTTAATAACAGACTTATTACCTTCGCACTGCACAATGTTAAAATACCTTGTAGTCTCTTGCACATCATAGTTTTTCACTCGCTTTGACTAATCATGTCCAATGACTAATCACACTCTGTTCAAACATTTCAGAAATAAAATGTTCAGACTGCTGGTATAGGCTTTTAGGAAGACCAAGAAATTAATATAGTTTTATCACCAAATAAAAGTGATTTGAAGAGAAAGAACAGAAGTAAAGATAGACTTGTTTCAGACTGTGCTGCATTAAATATAAATTGTTCATCTCGGAAGCATGTCTTCACTTTGATATATATGAGATTCAGTTCTATGCAAAACAAGTATTTATATTAAATCAATCTAATTCATTGGACAGCTTCCTCTTTTCTCACATACATTTCATTCTTCCCTTCACTCCCTCCTGTCTGCTTACTTCTTTCTCCCACATATTTATTCTTATGGGTTTAATCTACTTTTCCTTTTCTTCTTTTCTTGCACAAACTTAAATAATATCTCTGGGGAATATAACCTGATTCAAAGCTAACCCCAATTAGTAGGGTTTCTAAAATTTTAAAGCTTCACAGAAGCAGACTGCCTCTTCCTTGTCCTATTGATTGACTTGTGGGTTCAAACTGGTGACCTTTGGTTTAGTATCTGAGCTGGTTAGTTTATTGTGTCAGCCTGGCTATGAACACGTGTGGGATTAATTGAAGGGCGGAGAGATAAATGACTCAGTGAGCCTCGCCTTTTTTGTCTCTTGCTCTTTGATCATGGGCCAGTGTGTGTCAGCCTTGCTTGTTCTTTGCCTCAATTTTCAAGCTACACTACCTGTGGGACACCAAACCCATGGACTGTATCATTGTAATTTGAGGTTCCTTCAAGACCTGCTTTGCCACACCATTGGAATTTACATCTCTTGAGCTGGGGACTGTCGGACTCTGTCATTTGGCTCACTATTGGTGACCTGCCTTGCTGTGTGCTGCCTGTGCCAGGCTAGCCTGAAATGCTCTACAGAGGACTACCCAGTAGCCCTCAAAACTTGAAGGACTGCCAGTGTCTCACAATAGTCTCACGGGAGTGAGTTGCACTGAGCCATTTGTACTGCTTTTTTAATTTAATTAACTGTTTTTTTCTTATGTTACATATATATCTATCTGTATAAATATTAGTATTCTGGTTTTGTTTCCCTAGAGAACCCTGTCTAACACAGTAGCCTAAAGTTTAACTCCCTGTGCCACCAAGGATCCTTTACTATTTGTATAGTATTATACTACTGAAGTGTTAAAAGATGAACTATAATTATTTATTTTTCTATTTCAAGAAGATTATACCCTGTGAGAAACATGAAACTTGGGCACAAATGATGACACCTAAAGATTAAAACATAATGATTAGAGGCATCCAATCACGTGTAATCAACACAAAGGAGACATTGTGCTCACTAGGAGAATGAGCTATGGGATATTGTTATTAGATGTACTAATTTGGGGGAAAAAAGGTTTCAAGATATAAGCACTGAAAGCAGGAGAAAAAGCACACAAATAAGGAATTCAAATAATTATGTAAATCAAGCAAATGAGTGTATTTAGGACTCTGAGACGTGATAGAAAACATGGTTGAGAATATGATGATGATGACAAGTATGTTGTTTCTAGAATATTCAGTGTTTCAAATGTCAAGCTAAATACTTGGGGTTTTGTTCCCTATGCTGTAAATTTATTGATTAAGGTAAAATAATTATTCATTTTCATATCAATGTTTCATGGAAAATGCCATGTAATAAAATTTAAACTTTATGTTCTAAGGGGAATTTTTGCTGGCTTCAATAAGGTAAATCCTCACCTGGAATGTTGATTTTTATTTTTTCTATATCCAATTATGCACCTATATGATTTCTAATTGCACAGGAAAATTATTCTTCACCAGTAAATATTAAAATTCTAGCTGGCTATGTTTATATATCCAGCTTCTAGTTCACTATATTTTTGTTATATATATAATGATTATAAAACAGAAGGATAAATTGAAGAGGAAGGAACAGACAGTTAAAAGTCCCTCTAGAAATTTGTTACTACAGACTGGGGGATGCAACCTTAACACTGAAAGAGAGTGAATGAGAAGACATACATCTAAATCTATAAATAAAAGTTGAAAATCCTGGATGGCAGAGTAAATGTAAGAGGAGTAATAGGCATAGAACTATATTAAGATACAATAATTAGGCAAGAGTAATGATATCACTGATCAAGATACAAATAAGATAGATGAAAAGCAGAAAAGTTCATGGGATTGTTTTGGAATGACTAATGGTTCACATCTCTATAGGACTACGCAGGAAATAACTGTGTCAGGATGTTTAAAACCTCATGGTTCCTTATAGGATGAACTAAATAGATTTGAGTATCTATCTGGGTTATAACCTAAAATCTGCGTCCAACTCTTGGTAAACTTGTTGAGAAATTTCATTACTCTGAGCACTATATATAAAGTAGGGGGTGAAATAGACCCATTTATTCATTCTGGTATAAAAAGTTATATATCCATTTAGGAAACTGGAAAGAAAAAGTTGTGTATGTATGTGTGTGTGTGAATTATCCTGTAAGAAATTCTATTCAATTCACAAAAAAATGAAAATAAAGGAGAAATAATCCAAACATGAAAATCTATTGCTATCAAGTAAATTCCAGTAAATAGTGACCCACTAAATGGTTTCTGAGACTAAATCTTTTCTGGAACAGGAACTTCATCTTTCTACCAAGGATCAGATTGTGAGTTGAATCATAAACTTTGTTCTTAGCAGCCCAGTTCTCACTTACCAGCACCACCAGAGCTCCTTAAAAAAATGAATAGAAGCTATTAAATCGGCTAAAATCTCAATGAGAGTTCTAATCATCTGTGCTTTTTAATTCAAAGAAAAACATTTGTCTCCATATTAGTTATTAATTATTTTTTAGCAAGAAAAAATCATCATGGTTCTCGACTGTTTACCATATTATGTTTTATTCTCAGTAGTTTATGTAATGTGTTCCTCACAAAATATTATTTATCTCCCATAATAGCCCTATATTTTTATTTTATGGTCACGGTAAAGCTATTCTATTCAAAATTTAAATATCTTTATTAAGTCACACAATTAGCAAATGACCAACATAGCTAAAAATTCATGTAATATTTCTGTAACATACCATGTTTTTAATTATCTGCTTCATTGCTATTTGTCACCAATACTTTCTTCAAATTGTTTTTTTATTCTTCTTAACTTTGGCAGCCATGAGTCATTTTTCTAGTGTCTTTATTATTCTATCCTTCTTCAATCATGTGGCTAATCCACTGGGCTGCTAAACACAAAGTCAACAGTTTTCATCCACCATGGAAGATGAGCCTGTCTGCTCTCTTAAAGATTTAAAGTTTCAGAAACCTTAAAGATTAGTTCTCCTCTATCCTATGGGGTTGGTATGAGTCAGAATTGATTCAATAGTAATTGGTAGGGGTAAAATTTAAAATTAGAATGCAAAAAGTTCAGTAACAAACTTGAAGTAATGGTGGACAACTCGAGAAAATTTGCAACAAAAAGCAAAACAAACTAATAGCTGGAAGAATCAAAGAGTTTGGGACGTTTATTTCATAATGCAAAAGAATTGTATGTGTTGGTTTAGGACGGATGCAAGAAAGTGATTTTGTAATTTCTGAAATTGAATCTCTCTTATGACAAAAGAGTACTTTACCACATTATTAAATCCAGGTTACGTCTTTAGAGTAGTACTCAGGTGCATGAGTATGTTGGGGAATTTTCAAGGGACTCAGGTTTGACTTAAATTTTTAAAATAAAATAAGAATCCAGGCTATCTTACTAGAGAGAGGGCCAAAGATCATGTGGGGGTTAAGGGAAAGTAAAATATATAGGGAGTAAAATATATAGGGAGTACAAAATAAGGATAAATAACTGATTGTAAAGTAGTAAGGACTGTTCAGTGAGGAAATATACTTATATTATAGAGCGGCTTAAGTCACTCTGGCAGAAGGAGATGATATATTTAATGAGTAGCTCAACTTATTTTCCAGCAGAGTAACTTGATTGCTCTGGATCAGGTAGAAAGAGATGAACAAAGTTACTCTAAGATAAATATAGTTTCTCAGCAATTGGAAGAAATTCCTAGAAGATGGGCCCTTGACCCTTTCAAATGATTAGTCTTTTATTTCAGTTGTGCAGCTGTGCTTTCCAAGCTTAACAAGCTGTGCTTGCTATTTTGTCTCTTTTTTTCTCAGCGGTAATGAGAATGATCTACACATTTTTGAAAAATGTGTCCATATAAATTAAAAATAAATTCCAAAGGGACAAAGAAAGTAATGGGCCTTGAATTCAGTTCACATATCAACTCAACTGTGGTTTATAAGAAAAGTAGAGATGGCACAAACTTCACAGTCCATAAGCATTTATAAGTTTTCCTGACAATCATTCAGACCTCCAAATTCTTGTAATTCACATCATGTCCTTTTACCCACTAAGATTCACGGTTCTTCTCACAAAAGGCA